CTGTGTAGTGCAATCTGCCTGTCCACCCTGCTCTAATTGTTTGTTCAAATTATAATCCTTTCACTGCCACTTATCTGGGTCCAGGTAGACAAGGTAGACCAGACATCTCAACTTCCCCAACCACATATCCCAAGGCATTCCCTGGACAGGTGAGACATATAATCCCTCAAAGGTGTTCTAGATTTTCCCTGGCATCTCCTCCCAGTTGGACCCTGAATACCTCCTCAGGGAGGCATCTTGGTTACAAGCCTATACCGTATCAACTGGCGCCTTTTACTTTGAAGGACCAGTGGTGTCCAAGCTATACTTCAGACTACCTCAGTGATCTCCACCAGAGAGATACACAAAGTCGTCCCAGAGTCTCCAGACTCCTCCATCCTATGTAGGTTCAAGAGTTCCTGAAAGTCCTTTGCTGCCTAATAATATCCTTAGTCAAGATCAGCAGTTCTCCTGCTTTTTGAGAAAACTCTAGGCAAGGCCCTGGCTCCTTTTTCTGAGTCCTGTTTGCCAAATGCTCTTTGAGGTCAACAGGCAATCCAATCCCATGGCTTCCTACATCCAAGGTTTTGCTTCAAAAGGCCACAGAAGATTCAGTCCCCCGTGGTAACCTAGCTCAAAATGCCTTCTTCAGCTTCCTCTCACCGTTGTTGTCCACCTGCAAGTTCTTTGCCTGCAGCTGTCACTGCAGGCACCTGAGACCTTCTGTCAAGATGCAGGATTTTTTTTTCCAGTTGTGAAGTTGAAGACTTTGTTGACAGGATCCTCTGCCAGACAGTCACAGTAGATCCTTACTACAATTTTTGTCGTACTGGGTCTGTCAAGCAGCTCCTGCCAGGATTTTTTAGCTGAAAGCTCTCCTTCTTCTACGGTGTGCTCAAAGTGTTCATGACATACAGCCACAGATCAGATTATATGAACAGTCAGGTTCTGACATTTCTGCATCCTGGCCCAGGAGTCCATAGTCACAAGTTCTAGGTGACAAAGTGACAGCAAGTAAACTTATTCACTAAAGTATTTTGAGCTCCCCGTCCATCTACAGCTCCAAGCACCCTCATGAACATTGATGCTTGATTTCATGGGGATAACAAAACTGGTGGAAGATTTCATCTCTCACAGACATTTCCACTCGTCCAACCACAAAGCAGGCACGCAGCTCTCAACTAACCGTGGGTACACTACTAACGCATGCAAACACACATATCTACCCATGCATGCCTATCTGGCTTGAGCTGAAACAGAAGTTATGCTGGGCAGTTTTCACTGTGGCCTTTGGGATCTGTGATCACAACACAGGGAGAGATACAGACGGATGGAGACAAGGAAAGAAGAAAAGAAAGAAAGTGAAGAAAGACAGGAGCAAACAAACAAAACAAACTTGGTAAAGCCCTCTGCTGGGCTGGGGCCGGGACTGGAGTGTGTGTGTGTGTATGTGAGGCGATGTGAACAGAGTGGCGGGGATTAGGACAGATCCTGGGCTGTCCAACTCACAGCTGGCTGATGATCCAATCCTGGAGCGCAGCGCAGCGCACCAGCCGCCATGGGACCCCCGGATGCGTGCATGCATCTGTGTGTCTGTTTGTGTCTGTGTGTACAGGCATGTGGATTCGACTGATGTGCTTATCAGTGTGCACGTTTGCAGGCATGCAGTTGTACAAACAAACATACGTGCGTGTGTGTGTGTGTTTGTGTGAGCGTGCATACGTTTGTGTTTATCAGAAAGGAAGGTAGGGCTATCAGAAATCAAACAGAGGCTGTCTGTGCTTCATGTCCCCTGTTTGAAGGCGGGCTGTGATCATTTGGGCCACGAGAGGAGGACAGAATGAAAGAGGGGAGCGAGCAAGTTGCAGGGAGAGAATCAAAGAGCTGCTTTCCAAGGCTGGTCATACAAATGCCTTCCAGCCTCGCAACTGTGAATCTCACACTCTTACTCTCTAAAAACACACGCAAACAGTTACACAAACCAACCCACTACAGCTACAAAGACTCATACATGGCTCTGTAGTGAACAACAAGAGAGGGCAAACAGAGGCATGACTACGAATGAACTACATGTAGTTCTGCATAACCCCAGAAGGCCCACAGATAGACATAAAGAGAGAGAAAGAGAGAAAGGTAGAGCGAGAGAGAGAGAGAGAGAGAGAGAGAGAGAGAGAGAGGGAGGGAGGGAGACCATCGCTTGAGGTTTATTTGTTTAGTTTGGAACAGCATGAGAAAAAAGCAATAGAGAACATGAGAAGTGAGGAAAAAGGAAAAACAAAACAGGAAAAAAAGAAACATAGTCCTGGCCTGAGGATGGACAAAGACTGTGACAAAATTTCAGCAGGTGTGTGTGTGTGTGTGTGTGTGTGTGTGTGTGTGTGTGTGTGTGTGTGTGTGTGTGTGTGTGTGTGTGTGTGTGTGTGTGTGTGTGTGTGCTGTGGATGTGTGTGGGTGCTGCATCTGCATTTGATGCTTGCTTTCTACACTGCTCCAAAACCGCTTTGGTTAGATGACCTCCTTCATCCTCACATATCTGACAGATCATCTCTAAAAACTGTGATATCAACAGACATGGATCAATGGATGGATGGAAAGAGTTAACGGGCTTCTAAGAAAACACCAAGTTTGGGAAAATTAGCCTGATGGACAGCTTAACTGTGAGTGATAAGAATACAAACCTAAATCCTTAGTGTGTCCTCAGTAGACCTTTTGCTCCAGAGCTCCAATGCTACGTGACATAAATAATGATGAGCACAGCATTTTTCATACATAGGCTCTACTTAAATACTTTCATTAATATTTTAGCAATCCACATTTACACAAAACCCGAAATCCTTCATTTTTAATCATTAATATCTTCCCTAGTATCCGACACACAAACAAGTGTGAACATTCAGGATTACAAAAATAGTACAACAGATTGTCAAATGAAATAATTCCCTTTGGTTTTGGGCTAATAGTGTAACAAAACTGGTTCTATTTCAACATGTGTCCAGCAGGTGTAAATTTAATTTGTGTTGTTTTGTAGTTTAAGTCATAACAGAGTATGATAAAAATAACATTTTGGTTGACCAGCACTGATGGTATACTATTCACAACCTTAAAACATATGTATCATGGGTTTGCCTTACTAAACACAACACATTTTGGGCGTTTATATACACACTGAAGGTCTTTATAAGCTGTTCCTGTGCTGTACATGCTATTTTATTATATTCATTTATAGTTATTATGAATATGTCCTCCTCCATTTTCTGTAAATTACTTGATGACACCGCTTTATAAAAGCTCCTCTCTCTAAACGTGACCTTAAATGTAATTTTGTGATACTGACTGTGAACCTTTCATGCACTACTGAAGGCAAAGAAATATCCATATTAAATCAGTATCAGAAGTGGCTTTCACTGCTAATGACTAAAATTGAATTTGAATGGCTACATGCTCAGCCAAGTCAACAGCTGTCAAACATCTAGTATGCATCTGCGGGTAGATAAAACTATAAACTCTCTCATGCACATACACCCGCACACATGGCAGTAAAATGGTTTAGTCCAGTGGCTACTCTAGTACAGGTCAAAGTCATCATGTTGCCATATTAATATGCATGTCATTCTCCACAGCTGGCTGCAAAATACACACACACACACACACACACACACACACACACACACACACACACACACACACACACACACACACACACACACACACACACACACACACACACACACACACACACACACACACACACACACACCTTGCCTCATCCCTTAAACACACGACAGCCCGCCATGCGGCCAGTGTGTTAGCGCTGGCCAGCTGACAGACAAACACACTTAAACACAGATCAAGCCAGGAGCTGCAGTGGACACACACACACAGACACACACCACCTAGCTGACACATAAACACAAATACACACGCATACACTCACACACACATAGATTACACAAACTTGCATCCCGCAGCCTCCAGCACCACAGGGCACCACCGCCACATCTGTGCCCATCTCAGACACCTCGGCTGTGGGCAGCGGGGGTGAGAGAGTGCCCTGGGCGGCTGGCATGGGCTGGAATGGCCCTGGCAGTGGCTGGTGTGGACAGGAGCCGCAGCCAGAGGATGACAGGAGGGAAAGAGGGAAGAAAAAGAGAAGGGAGGAATGCAGAAGGGCAGGAGAAAAAGAATAATAATGGGAAAGAGAAGATGACAGATGAAAAGAAAAGGAATTGTTTAAAGTATAGAGAATGGTAAATCAAGGACAGCTAAGAGCTCAGAGCTGCAGGAAGAAAAGATAATGGTAGGCATGGGTGGGATAGATGGATAAAAGAATAAGAGAGGAAGTGATACAGGGTACCAGGGGAAAAAAACAGGCAAAAATAGATAGAAAGAGAAGATAAAAGATGGAGGTAAGAGGGGGGAGCCGGTAGCGCCTGTCGTGACAACGGGTGCAGGGCACTGGCAGGTGGCACTGAGGCCAGGCTGTCCAGTGACCATCAGCCGTACTTTTCTGTGTGTGAGAGTGTGTGTGTGTGTGCGCCAGGGACAGAAGAAAGGCTCAGGCGCCATTTTGGCTCTGCTGGAGCTGTTGCTGGGCTGGGCACTGGCCTGGTGGCACAGAGCGGGCAGTATGTTTGTGTGTGTGTGTCTCTGTGTGTGTGTGTGTGTGTGTGTGTGTGTGTGTGTATACATATATGTGTGTGTGTGTGTGTTGCATTATGTTGTGGCATGCTTAACAGGATTAGAGGTGACCTGGTGAGGTCCAGTTGGTACCAGGACCATGGCACAGCAGCGCGCATGTGTGTTTATGTGTGTGTGGTTTGTATAATAGGATTAGCTGTTACCTGGTGCGGTACAGTTGGTGTGTTGGTCTGAACTGGACTGGACTGGGCTGAGCTGGGCAGGAGCTGGGCAGAGGGGAGTGCTGTGTCTGTGTGTGTGTGTGTGTGTGTGTGTGTGTGTGTGTGTGTGTGTGTGTGTGTGTGTGTGAGTGTGGTGGCATGTATAATAGGATTAGGTACTACCTGGTGAGGTGCAGTTGGCGCTGGGCATTTGCCAGCTGTTCTGCTAGGCTCAGGGCTTCGGCCTGCCATTGGCTCCCGTCCTTTTGGACCGCCTCCAGACGCTGCCGACAGCCAACCAGCTCTGAGCTCAGCCTTTCCACTTCCTGTCCCGCAGAGATGGAAAGAGAGAGGGAAGAGGAGGTGAGGAAATCTTTCACAACAACCAACCTTATGCCCTCAGACCAACAAAATGTTAAAGGATGATTACAACCTCATGTAAACGATGAGGGGTAGAAGGAAATCATTTGATCATCTAAAATTCAAAATAGCTTGATTCCAAATGGTAAAATTGTATTTTGAAATATCAGGACAATTCACATTTCTTATGAGGAATTCTATTGCTCTTCTATAACAGGTCCTACGACATTTAAGTGTAACTAGGACTTCTCTCTTTATTGCACTGCATATTTACTCATCATTTCCATCTAGACAGTCTGAATAACTGGTTGGTATAAATTTGGAAATAAATATTTGAGAACACACCTCAGTACAGTTTCCATAAAAAACACAACTGACTGCTTAATAAATTATCAAGTAAACTAACTGATTGGCTGACATAAAAGCTACTTAACTAATCTAATTAATTAATCTAATAAATCAGTGGGTTGAATGCATACGTACCTGTGCAGCCTTTTCCATCTGTCTGCTTGTCTTGTTGCTGAGCTCTCGGAGTTCTCTCTCTGCCTCCTCTCTCTTCAGTTGGGCCTGGCTGAGCTGATATCTCAGATCCACACACACCTAGAGATGACAAGGACAAATTAAAAACAGGCAGTCTTTTGATTAACAAATATTGCTTCCTGTCCATTTCTTCAGCGGTTAGCAATTCAGATTTTCTTTTTAACATCTTACCCTATCCTTATCTCCGAAGGTCCTTTGAATCATTAGACTCTGCCAGTCTTTTTTTTGACTAAAGCTCAATGATCTTTTCAATACAGTTGTAAGACTGATCTGAGTTTCCTCCTGAACCCACCCATATAAGTGAATAAAATCACATTCAACTATCTATATGTTAACTGTTACTATGTTTATATATTATACTATATTCTTAAAAATACTAGCCCATAAGCTACTATCATTTTTATTATGCTCTACTACAAATAATATGTTAATATTAGCAATCAAAAACACTTTTTTAGTTCCGATACCATCACCCATCACAAGCAGAGCTCAGGGTCAACTACTGAAGAGAAATTAGTGTTGGTATGGATTTGGTGTCTTCCAGACACTTCAGCAGGGTTGAATGACATTGACAAGCACTTGAAGCCGAGTCTTCCAGTTTAAGTAAAACCCTGCAGAGCTCACTTATGTCACTGCTCTGCAACCATTTTCTTGCAAATATACCTATAGTTTTACAATACAACATAGTTAAAACCTGAACTAAGTATTTTCACATAAAGCTTGGTATTTACCGTGCCTTAAACTTTATTTCTACATTCATGTTGAATTTACCTTTCCGACAACGGAAAATAAATACTGAAATAGACAAACCTTTGCTGCCATCCAGTGGATTTACAAAAGCATTACAAGTAGACAGAACAGTACTGCGTCAGAGCATTAGGAGAGTTTTGTATCTCTGTTCTTTCAAAGCTTGAGCGATCGTTTTTTAGGGGGTGGTCTAGGTCCAGTATTTCAATCTTTCACTGAAATACAGAAGGCGTAGTCTCCTGAAGATGAAACAGCCTTACGAGTTGTCCTGAATCATGTTGATTCAAACTGCTCAGCTCTGATCCACATAAGCACCAATGATAAGTAACAATATATGCTGACTGTTTTCTTGCACAGCTCACACAGTGTACCTTGGTATTGTCTTGCTCCTGACTGGTAAGTTTGCAAAGAGTATCTTCAAGCTGACTGGTCAGTGAGTTCTTGTCTCTATGAGCTCGGTCTAGCTGCCCTTCAAGCTCGGCAACACGCTGGGAGAGGCTGGACACCTGATACACAGAGGAAGAGAATTTCTCCATGGGCATTTCAATATATTAAATATTTGTACTAGAAAAAAATCTAACTTTTGCCAAGTGTTTGCCTCTAGTGGTTGGAAAACATCACACAAGTATGAGTGGTGAGTTTTAGTTTGTGCATTAATATTGAAGTATAGTTTACATCCAAAAAGTGAGTAAGTAAGATTTACTGTATGTGCCAGCTCCTCTTTCCGTTTGCGGGCCTCAGCACGGCCCTCCTCTCTGGCCTCAGCCAGTCTCTCCTGCAGGGCCTGTGCCTCTCGTTCCAACTGTTCCCTGTGTCGAGCCAGCTCCCTGGACAACTGCTCGCACTGAACCTCCACCTGCATGGATACAAACAGATACAGAAGGTTTGCCAGAGGTAACCAGCCACAGTAAGAAGAGAAAACCCAATTTTTTAGGAGAACTTAGGACGAATCTTTTTGCTGAGTGAAGAGCACAAATCCTGTCTGAGTGAACACAGCTGGAAAGGTGCGTGTATATGTTTCTCTGACCCTAGCTTTGTACAGATTTGCTTCTTCTGCCATCTCCACAGCCTGTTTGACCTGGAGACAGGCAGACCATTCCCTCTGTTGAGCCTCCTGCTGACTAACCCGCACAGCACGCAGAGCAACCAGTAACTCATCACGCTCCCTGAAAGATAGACAAGAAAATGCAAACACACAATTTCTTTCTTTATTGCTTGGTCTTTGTATAGATTGTTTCATTTTTTGCAATGCACATGCAATAACTGATGAAAACATGAGCAATTAGATGTAATGCATAACCATATACTTAAACCTTACAGAGTATGAAGAACAAATACACTGTGCCTAACTTGTGGCTGATTGATAAAATGTATTTGTTTGTGTGTGTGTGTGTGGGTGTGTGTGTGTGTGTGTGTGTGTGTGTGTGTGTGTGTGTGTGTGTGACCACTGACTTTGTGAGCCTGTCAATAGCCTGGACATGCAGATTTGTGTGAGTCCCAGCCAATACAGCCTCATGCTGTGCACACTTCAGACACAATCCCGCTACACGGGGAGCTCCATCAGCCCTCAGTGCATCTGCAGCCTGTTTTTCCCGGTGTCTCAGGCGAACCTTCACCTCCTCACACTCCTTCTGGCTGACTGACAGATCCTTCCTGGAGATGGAGAAATAGAGAGAGAAAAGGGGCAAGGACGGAAATGAGTATTGCTATGCTCAAGTAATAAAAAAAGAAAAGACACTGGCTTCACCTCATGCATGAGTGTACACTGACCTGAGGGAGATGACCTGAGCCTCCAAGCTTTCAATCTGAGCCTGGTAGATCCCTTTCAATTGTTCCTGATGAAGAGGAGAAGTTGAATCAGCTGAATCAAGAATAGGATTGGATTCCATAACAACTATTGAACACTAGAAATATATATTTGTTCTTGGTGTGATGGTTGTTTTTCCATCTTTAAATAGTTTCAGTGGGATACATTTCAAATGAATGCACAAAACAAGCTGGAAACATTAATATTCCTTTAAAGAAACACATTTGTAAAATTGTTTCATATTTTCAGATGTCCCCAGAAGAATTAGCTCTAACTTTTCTTGTCTGGAATAAACACAAAAATCACGTAGAATTGCAGAAATGTTATCCCTGCTGAGAACTATATGGGTTAGAGATGGAGAAAGATAACTGAACAGTAAGTGAAAGAGAGAACAGATCTATCATCCTTACCAGCTCATTTTTCCATGTAGTGTGTTCTGCTTTCTGCTGCACACTGTAGCTTGTATTGGAGCCCTTGTGGCTATTTGCTGCTATACTCTCATTTACCTGAGAAACACATATGCACAGGTGATTAGTCACATTTCCTAAGGTGATCATTAATTAGACAAATGTCAGTGACATCCCATGCTTAAACCTCTTAACACTTCTACTGTATATGTGTAATTTACATCACCTCTAATCATTTTCCAACGCAGGCTGGATATAACAACTCAACAACAGACTTTTCATGAAGATAGCTCTGTTATCTAAAACTATACTAACTTATTATTTGAGATATTATGATGTATGTGTCCTCATAGATATAAGAATGAACATATATTTTACTTAAAAGGTCCAGTGTGTAATATTTACCTATTAACTGAATATCATATTCATAGGTATGTTATGGTATGTTTTTTTGTGTACCTATGTTGTGTATCACCGGAAAAAATATATTGTTGTGGGTTTTTTGGGTTTTTTTTTTACAGAATAAGCGGTTTTTATCCACAGAGGGAGGGAGTCCTCTTCTCCACCATGTTGAACCACTGTGTTTCTACAGTAGCCCAGGAGAGACAAACCAAACACTGCTTCTAGATAGGGCCTAGTTTCTCCTCCACACTTCACAGCCCCTTCTCATCTCCAAGTCTCAAATACTGATGCAAGCTGTTAGTGTTAGTTAGCTGCAATCTGCAACTCTACCACTAGATGCCACTAAATCCTAAATCCTACACACTGAACCTGGAAAACAAATCAAAAACATGTTACCGTGGAGTTTTGAAATGTGTAGTCTTTCAGAGATTCATTCACAGCTTTGGATTTAAGGTCCGACTGCAACTTCTCATTCTCCACCACCACCACTCTGATCCGCTGCTTCATCCCCTGCAGCTCTTCCTGAAGTCACATCCACAGAAAGGAAAAGTAAAAAGAACTGCACATAAAACACACACACACACACACACACACACACGTTTCTCTGCACACATACCTTGCAGAATTTGACCTCAGCTTCCAGGTGTTGGATGTACTCTGACTGGTTGTTAATCATTGGGACCAAATCCTGAAAAGCAGGCAAATTGGACCTTCCCTCCTGCTGTAGTCTCTAACAGAGGAAAGAAAAAATAAAATAAAATAAAACAAAATTAAGCAAGGAAAATATTCCTCGATATCATGGAGAATCCAGAATGATTTACCACATTTAACTATGGAGAATGTTTTTTTAGCCTCAAATATAATTATGTAATAGGCTTACCTTAGGTCAAATGCATTTAAATGTTTAGCCACACAAAGCTGCACACTCTACCTTGGATGGAGACTGTTTCTTTGAAGGAGAGAGAGCAGAGGGAATCTCTCTGCACTGCTTCAGCAGAAGGCTCTTCAGCTGATTAACTACAACACGAAAAGACACAGAAACAAGCGTGCAGACACACAAACACACAGAAGCATTTTATTATAACTTTGTGTCTTGTCTGTCAACAAGGTTATGAGCAGGGAAATCTCCAGGTGGCGCACTACTATGTCTTTGTCAGTCGTCCCACAACTAATCATTGAGTCACCTGCTTCGCTCTGTGTCTTTTGGCTCCATGCAGCCCTTTCCTCCTCGGCCATGGCGGTGAGGAGGCTGCCATGACTTCCTCTATGCTCCTCCACCTCTTCTCCATCAGGGCTCAGCTGCTCCAGAGTACTGCTCAGCTGCTGTATGCTCTGGTTGGCCCGCTCTGAATCCAATATACACACACAGACACCAGTCTCATACAGCATATTACTTCTGTGATCCCATGACAGTTTAGTTGCTGTCTGTGAACTTGCAGAACTCATTTTATGACTTATTAAATATAAAAGACGATCACAGAAGTGGTGCAGGGGAAAAACACTTGCCCAACACACAAATTAGAGAAAGGACGATTTGAGAAAAACACTAACTTTTCCATACATAATTAACCATACGTTTTCACATCTAAATGAATCTTACAGTTCAGTCTAGTATTGTCTAATCTTAATGCAAGAATTCACAAAACCAATAAAAGGTAAATATACAGTTCCTCCCTCTATTTCTAGTGGGTAGTGCCAGTGACAACACAAATAGGCTTTTTTATCAGATATTCTGGTAATTAATTAATTAATTAACTATGGCTGCATATCATTCACCTGGTATTATATATACATGCTGGGACACTTAAAGTTACTTCAAACAGAGCCATATTATAGTATGTTATAGTAGCACTTTTCCCACCAAGAAAAGTCTAAAAGTTTAGGTCAATGCTTCCTTAATGTCCAGGACTTCTTATTATTTAGCTCCACACTGGTGTCCTGGTAATTGTTTACGAAGTGACTCTCTGTCAATAACTTGGAAGTCTATTTAAAGTTTGGAGCAACATTAGCTCATATTTGTTTTCTGGGAACTGTAACTAGGTAACGTTATCAGGCTGGTCGTCAGTTTTCCCGAAGAGCAACAGGTGGCAGTGACACGACCACCATCGCCCTCTCCGCTTGGTGCCGTCGGTTCATCGACTCTACGGCCGTAATAACTGAAGCATTATGTAAACAACACCTTTAAAGACACCCAGCTGTAACACAGTCACCGTATTTTAACAAACCATTCAACGCCTCTCTCTCTCTCTCTCTCTCTCTCTCTCTTTAGCTAGCTGTTATGCAAATATAACACGATAAAAACGTTAACTTACGCCTCAGCTCCTTCTGATAAGCATCCAGCTGCTCCGCGTCCTCCTCGTCTGAGTCTATCGGTTTCATTAGTTTATAACCGACGTTATATCGATCTGTGTTACTAACGACACATGCTAGGCTATGCTAACAACAACCACAACATATCGCACGTCGTAACGGTCATCGAGGCTCAGCGGCGGTGTGTTCGTTTTGAAACACCTGTATGCCCCGGGGGCGGAGATGTCTTTTCTAATGATATAAACCCAATATGACCGCCCCCGTCCGGAATCCAGAGTGTGTCGTGAATGATAAAACGAGGCAACCATCGGCTAACTGCTTCCATTTCCGTAAACTCACACACATGCTGGGAGTTGTAGTCATTGTTTGTAGTCACAATTAGTAGTTTCACGTCTGCGACCCTGTGGTGAACACTGTGTACTGCAACCTAATGCTCCCAATGTGAGGACACTACGCTATATAGCTACATGTGGGGTATTAAGTGGGGTATTTAAAGAGTTTGGGAAACTGAGGCTTCTGCACACTCCTCTTATAAGTTTAGGCAAAAACAAAGGATATTTTTATATTAATGTAAGATAAGCATGCATAGATCTTTTAGTTGTTATTTTTGTTAAGAAACATTACTCAAAGTAAGGCTGTTTTGGCATTAGCAGTGAAACTAATAAACAATACATCAGCTCTCACACCCAATACATTAACTATAACAACTTAAAATGATCTCATTGATGTGTTGTAGCCTCTCCCTCCCCCGCATGATCAAACATTTACTGTTTCTTTAAGAAGAATATTCAATAGATCAATAGATTAAAAAAAAGGTGTTATTTTGTACAGTTTTCTGTACAGCTAGGTCATTTCCAGTTTCCTTTGTTAATTAGATTTGACAAGATAAAACTTGAATGATCCCCATGGGGAAATTGTTGCTGCAGCAGAGACTATGATGCAGAAAAGAGTATGAAATAAAAGAGTTATTAATGCAATGCACCTTACTAAAAGAGAAAGAAAGAAAAAGAAAGTTACGAGTCCTGAAGCTGCTGGGTTAAAGATCACCTGGTGACCTTGTTGTTTGCGACCGATGTGACGCGCTTTGCCCAGTGTCACTTTCACTTCTCTTAGCATCTTATTTTGGCAGTCCAGTTAGTCACCATTGAGCAATCCCACATGCATGCACACTCTTGCACTCAAAGATCAGGTTGCTGATTAAAGGTAAACAAATAGGTGATTGCTTGTGGGATTACTCAGAATTACTTTGAAGTCATAAATAGGCCATTTGGTTGTGAAATTGTGGACATTTCCCACAGAGAAATTGTCATAAATATTTTTAAGATCCATTTAGCATTTATTAGCACGTTATAAATAATAAATGGTTTATTATACACTATAATGTGATTGTAAGTAGATATAAGGACAGTTTTAAATGTTTATCAATGTATTCGTCAACTTATACCTCTCGTGACGCATCGGCCACTGTCACAGATAATGAATGATTGACAATACAATGTAACACAATGTTTATGATTATAATATGTTTTTTTGTAATTTATAACCAGTTTCAAACCAGTTTCAAAGGATTATGGTGAAATTATATATATATATATAAATATATTTACAGTGGTGCTATGTTGTATCATTCATTTACTGTACTGTACACACACTTTTACCGCTTTATAACAGTGTGTTTAGTAGTGATATTATACTTTTTATAAACTCTAAGAGGGGTGAATCTCTTTTGATGTGTGTAAATAGAAACAAACTGGGATAAAGTTGTATACAAGTACCTTAAAATCCTAGAGTAGAGTAACTTAGTGGATTGAGTTAACATGCTAATACATGAGTGTGAGACTCTTCATCAAACTCAGACTACATGGAGCACACAGTGTATTTCATCACTGGACCCTCGGTAACCTAAATATGGAAGTTTCCTCAAGTTCCAGGCAAAAATGACACAGACTCAGGGGAGTTTTGAATGACATAGTTATAAGATGATTTTTAGTTTGTGTGTGTGTGATACTGTTCAGTGGAAGGGTGTATCTCAGATCTATGTTTGCTGCTGCTTACCAAAGGGCCAGACAAAGGTAACCATGGATACACCCTCTTCCTATTGCACAATAACAGATAACTTCCTGTCGAACGAGTCTCAACTGTGCTTTTGATTTTTGCGACATTTAAGTTTTCAACAGAGGAGGCAGTGAGTCAGACTTTGGTGGGTTCATTCATAAATAGACAGTATTGTCATCTACATTTGACATTTTTATTCACAGTTTATTGTGACAGCTTAAACACAGAGTTGGGGGCCACGTGGATTTAAAATCAGCTGGTTCAATTGTGTACATTTTTGTGTCTTTTTGATTCTTGCATTGTCTCCAGACATCCAGGGGCCCCAGAAGCTTAGCAAACAGTGGCTTTTTTAAAAATGAACCAAAACAGTAAAGTGACGGGCTATAAATTCGAAACAATGCACTCAAAGATGCTAAAGTGCTCCATAGAGCTGAGGGGTTACTTGCTGTGGCTTTGTCACTACAATGGACACCTTTTACGCTATTGTTAATATAAAAATATTGATTATAGTAGCTTTCAGGAATTTCCACCGCAATATTAACAAAGGAAGGTCCAACATTTATTCCAATGTTGAGGCCCCTCTCTTGTAGAGTGTGTGTCACAAACAAGATCAGAGACTTTCATTATTTTAGTTCATATTGAGCTCACATGGTGTAAATAACATGTAAAATTACCACAAACTCCCGAGTACTTGCTGGTATATACAGTACACAATGCTTTGAGAGTGCCTGTTGTGGGGTCAATAGGAGCCCAGTTATTATGATAGTAGAGGTTATTTTACATTTTTGCTGCTACTACTATGTGAAGGTTGTGAATATCTCTCCTCCACCAAAATACGTTTTTATGTTTAGTTCATTTCAACTAAGTGTAAGTAACAGGGCTGGGTCTTAATTTAATAAGATCATTTATTGATTTTCAGCAGAATCGTATTTTGATAATATAAACATATAATATGATTTTATAATAAAAATGACTGATTATGGGCAGAGTTGTGATTTCTAGCACAATTTCATCTACTTCCAACATGCATGGAGAAAGTCCAGCAACCCTTGCAGCATACAGAACAACTTTATTAAGAACAATAAAGTTGTTCTGTATCCTACAAACATTGCAGAATTAAGACTTTTGACCTCTTTAGTAGTAAAATTAAAGAATTTAAAAATAAATAAATTATTGTTTAGATTATTGATTAAGAGTTTTGTCAGGTCTAGTCCATCACAGTGAATATGAATTTGATTGTTTTATATGTGATCTTGCATACATTTGCCACATTGTGATATTGATTGATACAGAAAAAACATTCTTATTAATCTTCATACTCATTTAAACCATATTGCTCAACGCATGTTTTCAGCTCCTGTAACTTGTGTTTTCTTCACATAATTATTCTTATAGAGTCTGCATGGGAAGATTTCCTGCACCACATCAGGTACTCACTCATCAAGTGAAACAGCGCTCATCTGCAACAGTTATACAAGGGAGTGTTTGCATGCTGGGGTATTTCCAGGAAACCACATCAGCCTACCAATCTGAATGTGGTACAGGCTGTAGGTTGTGAAAAATAGCCCACGCACAACCCCTGTAGTCCCACACTTAAATGTCACCTCTGCCCTGCCATATATAACTATTACCAATTCCCCACCTGTCACTGCCATATCTCCCCTCACTCCAAACTCCCCCCTCCCACTGCAAGATCCACTCCTCCTGAATGAACAGCGTTTTTTTCTATGTGAGGGTGGGGGTTCCCATTTATTTTTTAAAAGCATGACGCCCTCACACAAGCCTGGAAAAAACTGAATAGTGAGAAAAAAAAGCACCTAAGAAAAAAACCTCATCATTTTTTGTATGGAAATGTCTAACAATGAGAAAAGAAATAAGAACAACGGAGGCGGAGGGAAGACAAAGAGAAAACGAGCTAACCCAGTTAAACATGGGAAAATGGTGCACTCTGCCACATCTAAACCAGGCCTCAGTGATCAGTTATCTGATGACTTTTGCAGCACCCACTGTACTTCCTACACTGGAGATGGATTTGGTGCCAATAGTGAGCAACTTCTTTTCAGCAGAAGCACTATTAGGCAACACACAGTGTATTGGAGAGATATGCTGTAATAAGAGTGCAATGTTGAATCTCAAAGAGAACACACAAGCATACTGTATGTGCAAGTGCTTGTAGGGTAGCGTACATGTTTATGTGTCGCATTCACATGATCTGTCACAGCGCTCACACACATTTTTCTCTCCCTCCTAAACCAGTCACACAGACACACACACGCAATAACAAGAGAGACAAGAACCACATTAGACAGATTTCATATTTCTTAATAAAAATAATTCATTTCAGGACAACATATAAATAATTATTGAATCACACAATACAGATATCTTGATATGAATAAATACTTAACAAATAAAATCAGGCTTTTTTTCATACAATACCCTATTGTCGAAAGGTCACACAAAGAAACTTCCACACAGTTTGCATGTTTTGTTACACCTTCTGCTCATAAGCGGATGCTCTTCCTACTGTTGGAATGTCCCTAAGCGAGTCGGAGTACCATTCCTAAATGCCTCAGCAGCTTAGACAAGTCATGTGCAACTTATGTGATCTCCTCCCAGTCAAACTCAGTCAATGCCCCGAAAACGTGTTCAGGGGCCCTGATGAGCTGACCACTAATTGGCCTTTAATTGATTAAGGTTTGTCTAGAGGTGATTAAAGCACACAGAGATCTACGTACAGGCCGTCAAAACATAGGCTGGCCTGACAGCTTTAGATACAGTTGAATGAAAAGGCAGACCGAGAGCCTGTTTGTCTATGCTCTTCTAACTAGAGCCACAGATGGACATCTGCCTACAGCAGTGTAGTTCTTCAGCACAAGTATGAGGGGAATAACTGTTCCAGTTGATATCACATTAGAGTTTGTTTGATAATAGCTTTACGCTTCAGGTTATCTCTGTAGATGAATATTTCTTTGTATCTGGATAAAATAGATACTTATGAAAGATAGAGCCCATTTGGAGATTTTCAACATGAGAGCTTGACAAGCTCGAGTCTGTGGTTACACAAAATTGGAGATGTCTACCTGTGGCACTCTAGTTAGTTTAGAATGGTCCAGGCTGGCCATTTTTAAGGAGGTAACAACAACTGTTTGGCGATTGATGGCACATGTATTT